TCCAGCATCCATGTATGTAGTTCACTTGGTTCACAGTTTCCCTTAGTTGTCTTAAGTCCGTTGTATATCTGATTAAGGTTAAGGATTCCTGTGCTCACTTTGGCAGCACATATACTAAAATTGGAAGGTTAAGGGTTTGTTGGCTTTGTAGAAATTACGATTTTCATTTCTTTCCTTAACTGTATTAGGTTTGAAAACTATACTACCTGCATCTCAAGGTTTTTCATTTTCAGTTCTTTTTAAAATAAAATACAAGCAATGCATCCAGTAAAGTAAGAGTAATATATGCAACAAAACTTGGAAACACAGCTAGTGTGTAATGAAGAAGGTGTAAATATTGCAGGAATTGCAGTGCATGACTGAGAGGTAGAGCATGATAATACTGAGCTGAGTGCTTGTTCTTGTTTTGAGATAACAAAGGTCTAAATTCTAATGGAGTAAAGATAGATGGAGATGAGTGTCAGTGTATAACTTAGGAAAATGTAGACCATAAACAAGTTAAGCCATACTTAATATTTCCTTTTTGTTAATTTGTATTGGACTCATGACCAAATTGATGACGGTTTCCCTATTAGAAGAATTACTTATAAGTCAAAAAATATTAACTTGGGGAATTTCAAATATTTGGTGGGTCAGAATCAGGATTGCTGTTTTTTCACTATTACAAAGATAAAGTAAAACTCTTGACAGCATCTCTAATCTAGAGAGATCTATAAGCAAGCTCCTACTGAAATGTAGGTCTTTTTTTCTCAGTTTCTCAAAGAGATCTGCAACCTAAGTCACCACTCTAAATGCAAGCACAAAATTTACTTTTTCTACAATGTAACTTAGAAGTAAAATACAGAAAATCTAAATTGAAGTGACAAAGTGTGAATTATGATGAGATTTAAGTAAAAGCTGGCAGAAATTTCACAGTATTAAAACATACAGCAGAATGTTAGCTGCCCATCTCTGAATAATTTTAATTGACTTTTGAAAAAGTAAAAGTCTTTCTACTTAGGTTAATTTTTCTTTTCATCCTTAGGTTATTTCTTATAACATTTTCTCATGACTCAGAATATGATTATGAATCATTTCATCAGCAAATTCTGATGATAAAAGTTCCTAGGTATAATAGAATTGTAAAAAAGGAGTATACTTCCGTATTGGCTGACTTTCATGGTAGATCTTAGTTATCTCATTAAGTGAAGCTAAGTACTTTGCCATGACCATGTAGGAAAAAAAATACTTTTGATTTAATACAAATACATTTACATTTTTAATGAGGTTCTTTCCTGTTCCTACCAAACTGCAAAAAGTATAACTGTGTAGGTCCTGTTTTCAAGAATGTTTTTATTTTTTAACGTAACTTTTAACAACTTTATTAGACTATTTAAGAGAATACCTTGAAAAAAAGTAATAACTTCTTGTTTTAATAATGAGAGTACGTCCACCTGTACAATCTGTGCCTGAACTCAGTATTGCTCTGTTTCCCTAATTTTAGAAGTGAAAACTCAGGAAACCTTCAGGCCAGTGGATCTGTAACAAAAATGCATTGCAAATTTTAAGAAAGCATGTTGTATTTGAGTGATGATCCCTGCGGCATATGGCAGATACAAGACAGTGCAGCGGAGGCACTCAATAAATAGTGGGTGAATTGAATTGAAACAAGACTTTTGGATGCTTAGATTGTGACAGACTAAAAATAACTTCTGAAAGAAGGTCATGTATTGATTCATATATTTCAGAATCTTTGGGTTTCATCATTTCTCAAATTAAAAAATAAAAAGTTATTTCTTTGCCAGAGATTAACCCAGATATTAACATTAATATAAAGCCCTTTTTCTTCTTTCCTTTTTAAATATCTCGTAGTACAGTATTTTTCTGCCTTTTTGTTCAGCATGTCAGGTAAGGTGAAGGAGAATGATGAGAGACTTTTTTCTAAGACGGAAAGAAGTTTAATGTTAGTATTTTCTGCCTAGTCTAGCTTCCTACTTTAGAGTAAAATTTTAGATTGTAAGTTTTATCTTTTGTATTATTTAAAGACAGAGATTATAGTTTTTATTACCTGCCTGAAACTGGGATATAGAACTTATTTTTTCCTTTTCTTTACAAAGATTTTTATAAGAGAACAATTAAAAATGTGAAGTTCCTTGGTTAGCAAGACTCAGAAGAATAAAAAGTTTCCTATATAATTTTTCCTTATGCTTTAATTATTATTTTCTGTAAGGAATATTGCATGAGGCTGTCAGGTACAAATTGGATCTGGGCAGAATTTTAAAATTAAGAATTAAAGGTTGAATATATACTCTATAAGGATCAAATTTGGTGAAGCCAGACAGACAGATCTATATAGAAAAGTAGGCTTGAGAGGTTTATTCTGTGTTTGAGTTTTGATTTCCAAATAATTGCTTCCAACTGAATTTTTGAGAATACTTCTTTTGACTACTACTATATTTTAGTATGATTATAGTATTCAAAGATTGTTTCCAGTAATAGAAAAAAAGTTCAAATTTTGTTGCAAATAAAGATCTTCTACTTACCTTTGTAACACTTAATGCTATTTCTTAAAATAGGTTTTGTATTTTCTGTAGCATAGACTTTGTGATTTTTAATTACTTATTCCTTAAATATTAAAAGGACTGTTTGGAGCTAACTGTTTGATTTAATGCTTGGTCCTGGACATTTGGATGAGTATAGCCTGCAGAGAGAGAGAGTTCCTCAAGCTGTAGTTTGTTCCAAAGATGCTGCTTGCCTTCTGCTGGCCTCTCTTCAGAAGGAATTTCTGCACAGGATGCATTTTAAATTATCTTCCGCTTACATTTTTAGAAAAAATTCAAAATTTAGAAGTAGCAACTCTAGTCTTATGCTATTTCCCAGTGTGTCAACATTTTGTTCTGGGGAGAATTACTAATAATTCAAAACAGAGTATATTGGATTTGAAATACATTGATTTCAGTTATTTCTGGTTCAATTTACTGTTCTCTTAATGTACAAAGAAAACCTTTTTAGGAAGTTTTTTTTTCCAGGTGTAATTAGCAATATAGGAGAGGTGCAGCTAGTTAGCGGATATATAGTCCTTGAACATTTACAGAGTTTCTTATCTGAAACATACAAATAAACTGTTAGCATTCATAGGTTTAATAATGAGTGTTTATTATGTGTAGGCATTATACCAAATCTGTCCTTTGTAGACACTATCACATTTATTACTCACACTAATCCTGTCTCCAAGGGTACTGAATGGTTATATCTTTCAGCAAGTCCTACTGTCAAGTTGAATGAATTTCATTTAATGGAATCTTACCTTAGTGGGCAAAAATAGTCACTCCTAAAAATTTTAGAATTGGCATTTTATGGCACTTTATGGAAAAAGTTGGTACTTAATGCTGCATTTAATTTGTTTGAACCTGTGAGATAGGCATTATTTCAATTTTACCACTGAAGGTTCTACAACTAAGGTTAGTTTGTATACTTCAAATCTATTTTTTTTTCTGGTACATAGTCCTGTGCATGAAGGTTTTACCATTTTATTCCTGTAAAAATGTATCCTGAAGGGTGATTTTTGCTTTAAACAAATAGAATAAAATTTTATGTTGATTTATAGAAAAGGATTTTGGGGGAAAGTATGTAAAAAGCGCTTGAACACTAGAAAATGTGCTTAAGAGAGTACAGGTCATAAAACACAGGTTCAGTACATTACTGTCCTTACCTCCTCTAGATACAGGAAATCCGATTTCTCTCTAATATGTGGTTTTTCCATCTTCCACCCTCTTTACTGTGAGAGAAAATATTATGTGACTTTTACTACAGGACTGTTTTTAGGATAAGTACTCTACACGATCAGAGAAACATCTCTAGTAACATACTATGGAAATGGTCCCTGAAAGTAGAGCCTTGCTTTTAGGATAAGTAATATATATGTGAAACTCCTTGAGAACTTAAGACTAAATGAGATAATTTTTATTAATTATGTTGGTGTTGAGCTAAGGAGTAAAACCAGTTTTATGATGTTTTAAGTATAGTCATTTTTATTATTTGGAGAGTGATTACCTATGTTGCAGTTTATCCTAATTTCAGTTTGACAGTATCTACATGTTCATTTAAATTACTTGCTGAGTTGGTGAGTTTTTGTTTTCATTAATTTTTTTTTTACAGTTAACAGTGTCCTGCTTATTTAAAAAAAAAAAAAAAATCAGTGTTTTGGTTTTGCCTGGTCTCTATCTAGCAGGAAACCTTTAGGAGACCTAATTTCCAGAGCTTTGAAAATGGGCATCTCAGTTTAGGCTGCTGCTTGCTTGGTATCACTTAGAAAGAGGGGCTGTTCATTTCCAGCAGGCCCACAATCCGAATGGGTTTGAGAACACAAAAACATGACCATCCCTGCTCTAACAGTTACATCATTTGGTTGTTTGGCATTATTTATTTGGTAGCTCTGATTTGATAAAGCTTTAATGCTTTTTGTAGTACCTGTACTGTACCTAACTTCTGCTATCTACTGGTTGATTTTCTGTCAGTTTAATTTCATTAATATGAATAATTGAAGCATTGATGACATCACATTTCTCAGCCTAAAGTCTTCTTTTGAAGACTAAAAGCATCTGCTCAAATTTTGAGTTCATGATTTCTACTTTACAGTCAGTGTTTATTTACTCAAAAGCTTTATTAAAATCTCTTCATTCACTTTAAGTCCTACTTTCCTCTAAAAATCAGACCCTCCTTTACTTTTCCTTAATTTTTGTATTATATTTAGCCAAACCAATCCTCTAATTTAGGAGACACTAATTGTCAAAATGTGACCGTTCTATTTCTAAAAGCCAGAGTCCCTGGAAAGTCTCAGTTCTTTAATAAATATATGGTAGAATAGTACTATTAGTAAACTTTGTAAGAACAGAATTTTAAAATTAGAAAAAAGCAATTCATCTGCAAATGGTTTTTGATTAGTTTGTCTTATGATACACAGCCTGTTGGAAGAATTGGTAATTGTATATTTATAGATCATTTGGTGTTTTTGTCAACAGGAAGAAGGTAGATGATGACTATAATGCTCTTCAGGAAAGACTTAGTACCTTGCCCGATAAGCTCTCTTATAATATAATGGTATGTTTGGTGTATTTCTTTTAAAGTAACAAATTAACTTATAAATGTGTTAACTTTGTAAAATAAAAAAATTTTTTTTTGCTGTGTGCAGTATCAGTTCACAAATTGTCAAACTGATGGTCTCTGTGAAAGGTAAGTATCATATCCAGGAGGTTTTTTAATACTTTATAACAACACAATACTTGTAGTAGTTGGTATCTACTTTTTAAAAGATGCAAATAATTATTGCATTATAGTAAGGTAAATGTTAGCACAGAATTTGACATTTGGTGTATAAACTTTTACATAAAAAATGTAATTACAACAGAATATGGTGCTTAAAATCATTACTTATAAGCCAGAGTGAGAATAGGCCATATTTTTGTAATTCACAGAATTAAATTCTAGAATATTGATTTTATAGAAAAAGGTACTGCTAATTTTTGTTTTAATGACCTTTACCACTGACAGCGTGATCTGTTTTGTGAGGCCTGGATTAGAACCTTTCATTGCGTGAACATTTTTTCTTATGAAGACTTGTTTGTATTACAGTAGCCCAAATATTTTGTAAATATAGGTAGATAGACTCATTAAAGTTGTTTATTAATTCCTGCTTTGTAAAGAATGGTCATTTTATTCGAAATAATTTTCAAGTTATCTTTACCAAAAAGTATTCCATTGACTTATTTCATTTAGATTTAAGAATTAATGAAAAGTATAAACATTCAGAGACCGTACTACTTTTTCTTAGAGCTATGTGTAAATATAGTATAGATTTATTTTTGTATTTTAACATTGATTTATTAACCTTAGGCAATATTCTGTAAATTTTAATATTGCATTAAATTTCTACAAGGTTGACATTTTTTTCACATTGTATAAAAGAACTCAATAATAATGTGGGACCTTTTAATGTTAAGTGTTTCATAAAATGTATTTTGTAGTGTTTGAAATTTTTTGCTCTTTTTTTTTTTTTAAACGATAGGTACCATTTGGCCCCTTTGCCTTCATGCCAGGAAAACTTGTCCATACCAATGAAGTGACTGTTTTACTTGGGGACAACTGGTTTGCCAAGTGCTCTGCAAAGCAGGCTGTAGGTTTAGTTGAGCACCGGAAAGAACGTAGGTACCACTTATGAATGGTGTTTCTTTGTTGTATATGTGTTGGTTCACAAAATGCAAAACCGATGGACCAGAAATACCTGCCATGATTTGTTGGTTATTTGTACTGTAATTCTGTTGAATTCTAGTACCCTACATCTGACAATGAGCTAGAAAGTGGAGAACCTGGGTTTGAAATATCACCCACATTGGCATCTTTTCAGAAATTAGCAGATGGAAAAGTGATATGGGGGGGTGATGTAACTCTCAACCTGCTAAATGTCAGATATGCCGAGTTTGTGTTCACCACAATCAAAGAATGAATTCTAAGGAACAACAGAGGTTAAAAGTAGGAAAACTTTATTGAAAGAGAGCTCCTGAGAGAGAGGAAGGGACCCAAAAGTGGGTTACCAATGAACCCACTTCTCAGAGGAAGTTGTAGAGCAAAATCAGAGGTGGATACAAAATCTCAAGGTGTACGTATCTGTGATCAACCGAAAAGATTACCAGTATGGCCACTTAGGAAATATTGATTCAGTGGGGAAGCAGGGCACATAGCAAATGCACATGGAAAGAACAAAGACCTTTTTTGGAAGGGATGGATCAGTAGGTCCTGGTCACCCACCTAGGTGACTGATACCTATCTAGACTTTATTGTACCAGGTGAGTTTCATCTTCAGTTTACTGCTTATCCCCAGGAGAGGCATGCAGGCCTGGTCATTCCATCTTTGTCTTGAGTACTAGCCTTCGACGGATGTGTCTGTGGCCACAGTTGTAATATGTTCTCATCTTCTGCACTGACACTCTTGAGGGCCTAGCCCTGCCTGGCTGGCTATAATAGTTCTACCTAACTTAGCTGTCTGTAATAAAAGTATACGTGGTGTGTAGATAGAAGTTAGGAAGACATAAGACATAAACATTTTATGGTTTATAATTGGTTTTAGTTGTTTTCAAAGATACTTTTGTACAAAGAAATTACTTTCTGCTTAGTGAACAAGGAGAAATTCCTATTTTAAAAAGTTGATAGTTCTTAAAAATGCTTTTTGTTTTGAAAGAAATGGTATTTTGATTTTATAGAAGAGATCAGATATGAAAAAAAAGAAAAGAGAGTAGATATGGAAAGATGCTACCTAAAATGACACCCTTATCCTTCTTAAGTGGTTTGAGCCATTCTGTGCCTCGTTTTAAGGTAGCTTTCATTGAAAGCTATCTCTTTCAATGGTACTGTGGTGTCTGTCTCTGTCTGCATCTCTGTCTGTCTGTCTTGTCTGTCTGCCTGTCTTATACACACACAATTAGATGGGTTAGTTTGGGTTCTAACTTACTTGTATTTAAAAATTCGGTTTATTTAATTTCTATCTGTGTTCTGATATCTGCAGTAACATACTTAAATTGATAGTGTAGTACTGTCCCTATTTTCAACCTTTTTTTTTTTTATTTTAAAGAGTAGTAAATGTGAAACAAACGAAAAAAATAGAACAGTAGCGGCATACCAGTATCACAAACATAAACAAATCAAAGCAAGAACATTCAAAGTGATACAGAGTCTCAAGACAAAACGATATGAATCAACAGTGGTTGTTACATTACATATTGCTGTCCTCAACTACATTGCTCAGATTACCAGATGTAAGAATGAAAGACTGCTCAAACCATTAAAGAGATTAAGAAAATAATTCTTCGATAAACCGTTAGAGATAATACAGTTTCACTAGACAAGATGGTAGGAATTCACCATTGTAATTCCATTGCATATTGTTACCTTCAAATCAGTTGCTCAGACCATCAGACACAAGTACGCAAAATGGATCAGAATATAAAAAATTGTAAGCATTAACTTCATTTCAGTACACCATCAGACATCAGCAATACAGTTATTGCAGCTATTCATATGTATATTTATATTTTGCCTGCCTTCTTTCTGTCTTCTTTGCCTCATCCCAGTCATTCCTTTCTTTGAGCAATTTCTTTCCCTTTCCTATCATCTATTGTATGTTTTGAGTTTTACCTGGTCTTTCAGGTTCCTACACCAAGGAGACAATATGATGTTTACACATGTGGGTCCGATTTATTTCACTTATGAGTATGGTCTCTAGTTGCATCCATTTACCTACAAAAGCCTCGAGTTTATCTTTTTTAATAGTTGAGTAGTACTCCATTGTATAAAAATAGCACATCTTTTTAATCCATTCCTCAGTGGATGGGCATCTGGGTTGTTTCCAAGATTTACCTATAACAGTTGTGCTGTTATAAACACGGGTGCATATATAGTGCTGTGGTATGATGTCTTTAATTCTTCTGGGAAAATAGCCAGAAGGGGAATAGCTGGCTTCAATGGGACTTCCAGTCTGAGTTTTGTGAGGAATCTCCAAATTGATTTCCACAGTGGTTTCACCAGTCTACACTTCCACCAGCAGTGGACTAGGGTTCCTTTCTCCCCACAGCCTCTCCAGCATTTGTTATTG